CGCCGCTCACTCGTTCGAAGGGAGAGACGCGGCCCGCGCCGCTCACTCGTTCGAAGGGAGAGGACGTCGGGAGGGTCGGAGGGAGGGAGAAAGTGAGGAATGGGCGGCTATGTGAAGTCGGCTGTGTGGAGAGGAATGACTGAGAAGAAACCCTAAGTCCTTGATTATATATAAGCCCAGTATAATGGATTTTGTTTGGGCCTGAGCTGTGCCTGCCGGGGCGGTTGAGTTACAATGCCCGCCTCGGTTAATGATTTACCGAGGCGGTTATGTTACAATGGCCCTGTTCGTTTCTATTATAATTCGTACTTTTCAGCTTGTTTTTTTCAGCCGGAACAGTATTTTTCTCTCACAATAAATCAGCCGAAACAGTATTTCGACTTGTTTTTTCAGTGAAGCGAACAGGGCCAATGCATGCCTCCGTTAATAAGTATTAACTGAGACGGTTGCTGGCCCAGCTGTCCTGCCTTGAATAAGCGAGGTGTGCAACCGGGTCGTCCACCGAGAGCATTTTGGAAACGCTTCGCAAAAGATTTTACGTACTAGTGATTCTTGTTTTTGGCCTTGTTCGCTTGGCTGAAAAGGCGTGACTGAATGTACTGTTTGTTAATACGTTACGAGAGAAAAAACATTGCTAAAACAATAGGGCTCGTCACACAATCAAGCAGGGCCTTTGTTTTTTAGCCGGTACAGTACGCAGAGTAGGCATCATGATCCGGATTGAATCGAACACGCGAGAAGCTGGTCCGTTTAATTATGTGCCCGAGCTCCAACAAGCCCAAGTACTGTAGCGATGCTGTCTCTAGGCAAGCAGTGATCACATTCAGCTTTCAGCACCGTGTCGTGCGCACTCGTGGCAGCCACTGCCGACTGCCGTTGCCTCCGTGAGGGAACCGGGCGGGAGGTGGAAGACGCATGGCCGAGCCGGTCTGTTTGGTTGGCTGATCCGTATCGTTGCTGGTTTGTTTATGTGAGAGAGAAGTACTGCTGATTGATTCATGTGAATGATATCCATGTGAGGGGGCTGGCCAGCCAGCTCAGCCGGCCGCCGACCAGCCTCAGCTGATCGGGTTGATTAATTGCCGGCCCAATTCTATCAGCTGCCGCTGGCGCCACACACGCGCATCGTTCTCTCCCCTACAGCCGGCGTTCAGTTCAGTTGAGGGAGCTCGTATCTAGCTTATAAACTATAGCTTATTAGCCAACGAATAATATTTTTTTCTCTCATCAAATCAGTCAATAATTTTTTTAGTTATGGCTTATAAGCCAAACCAGCCCAAATGAACAGGGTGATAATTGGAGACAAGGGGGTTCGTGAAGCAGGATACGTCTGAAAAGAGGGCGAGAAAGTTAACGATGACTTTCCTATAGCCTCAGAGTGAAGCTAAGGCCCCGTTTAGATCCAAAAATTTTTGGATTTTGGTTCACTGTAGCATTTCGTTTGTATTTAGTAATTAGTGTCTAATTATGGACTAATTAGGTTCAAAAGTTTCGTCTCGTGATTTCTCACCCAACTATGCAATTAGTTTTTTTTTCGTCTACATTTAGTACTCCATATATGTGCCGCAAGATTCGATGTGACGGATACTGCGTAAAATTTTTTGGAATCTAAACATGCCCTAACTCTTGAGTCTTGACTTGACAAACATGAAAAGAGGCGAGATTGCATCCATCACAAGTGTCGTGATCTTCTTCCATCGGCGTCAGCTACCGGAGAGATCGCGCCGATTATTCTAATCTTTGCGGTTGGGGTATTAACATCGGACGAAGCTAGCCCTAGCTGCTCCTCCCCTCTCTTCGCACTCTTTCTTCATTCTGGATGGCCGCTGTGATTAGCTATCTATCTATCTGAGTTTTTGGCTCCTTGCCGCTTGGATTTTCGTTGCCGCGACGCTGGCGATCGATCGGCACGGAAGATATGGCATACAGTATGGGATGGGTGAAGAAGGAAGCAAAGCTAAAGATGGATCGATCGCCGTGAAGTGACAGGCCGGATGCTTAAGATAGTATCCGCGTGACTGTGTCTGCGCACCTAATCCAGCTTTATTTATTGTATCCGAATGTGATTCCTAGTGTTGCTATCAGCCTACCAGGGCATGTATATATGTGCGATTGTATATTCCTATCTTAAAGACTTCAACGATTACTTTGGTTAATCTATCGATCAGACAATCATTACAAATTCGAAAAATCAGACAAGATCTGAAATGTAAGGATCTTGATGATAGCCATATACATTATGTAGTCAACGCTATATGAACAGGTAAAAATGCTTCCGGCGGCTAGTGCAAATCATTAGACGAATTTTGCTCTCGTGTGTGCCTTGTAATCTTGTGCCAGTTTGCACTTTGTCTACATTATAGTATGTGCAACCATTATCCCACGATCTAATTTTTAGGCGTTCCTTGATCCCCTTCTCAATCAAGACCGGTGAGCTTGGTTTGAGCAATCACTCTATTATAAATGAGGTGGTCTATCGTGAATCTATTCTTTAAATTTGGTTGAATCACTCAATTTCTTATTTTAGTACTAATTATTAGCTTATGAGGAATAAGGTAACGATGCATCAACCTATTCTGTCGGTGTGAAATGTGGCCAACAAGTTAATATTTGTAGTTTTGTCGTGCGTTGTGATCGGATATAGTATAGCACTCAATGACACATGATTTATATTGGTTCAGACAACAGACCCTATGTCTTTGGTGACTTTATTCTTGAGCTCAGAAACTCGAAGTTTGCTGTGAGATTATAGGGCCTCTTTGGCAGGGCTCCGGCCGGCTCCGGCTCCGGCACTGTAGCAGGATATCGGCCTCTGGGCGGCCGACAGGAGGCGCAAACGGAAGCAGGATGTCGGCCTCTGGGCGGCCGACAGGAGGCGCAAACGGACAGCTCCGGCGGCTCCGCGCGTGTCAGTGAGAGAGGAAAAGAAGGGAGGAAAAATCGGCTCCAGTGAACAGTGCATGTGTCGGCCCCTGGGCGGCCGACAGGCCGGAGCCGGAGCTGCCGGAACCCTGCGAAAGAGGTCCGAGTGAATAATAAAGTGCGAGGGCGTAAAAAGGCCGATCAGACTCTAGTCCGAGTGAAAAAGAATGACGAACGTACGTTAAGTGTGAGAGCGTGTGCTCTGGGCGCACATCATCACCCGTGAGCGGCAAATATCCGTGCGAGATAAGCATGGCATTTGCTCTGCTCACCACCTGCCTGCCCTATTCCAATCGGACGCGACCGGACGCAGCAAGCACGCACGCGCAAGCACAAAACTGGCGGCCTGCGCCCGTGGCCCGTGGGAGGAATCCAATCCAATCCGCGCCTCTTTCATCTCTCAAATCCACATCCACTGAAGGCGACGAGACATCATGCATGCATACAGTACGCAGGAGAGCGATGGATGATGGAGCATGGCTAGAGCAGGAGGCAGGAGAGCTGTGCTACAGTGCCCTGTAGTACCCGGGCGGTGGCGATGGAGAGATCTCTCTGTCATACGAACCATGTCACGGACGCAGCCATATCCGATCCCGTCGCCTTTACTGCGCCCCACCCAGAGGCGTGCGTTAGGATGAAAACGGTACAGAAATATCTCATAGAACCGTATTGTTTTCTATATTTAATCTGATCGAATTTGTTTTTTTTGATAAATTTAAATTCGGTTTGAAATCGGAATGAAAACAGTTTTGATATTTTTTTTATCATTTTCTATTTTTCTACTTTTAATTCAGAATATCTTGAATTCGAAATTCGGTTTAGAAATTCGATTTAAACTAAATTTGGCCTACTAGAAGTCCAGCCTTAGAGAAATTATATCTTTTTCGTACGATCTCGGATAAAGATGTTTTTTATATGAAAATTAGAGTTCTCGACGATATCTACAATTTTCTAGTTTTTAGTTTTTTCATTTGAAGTCTTTAAGATGCTCAAAAAATTAAACAAAGTTTCAGCGGTATATTAATCACGTAGAAACGCTTGTTGCTTTAGAAAAATCATATCTTTCTTACCTGGTGTCGAATGAAGATATTTTTTAAGAGAGTTGTATGACTTTTTATTATTCACATGTTAATTGTTATGCACTTGATCCTACGGATCAATATTCTGTATTGATTTTTCGTATACCGACCGTGTTCGACATAATTCTGCTCGAATTAGTTCGCTTTCGAAATTCTCGATATTCCATAAGTTCGTATTCATTTTCGTGTCCGGTTTTATCGTGTTTGCTTTCGTTTTCGTATTCAAATGTGGAAGTAGAAAACGGCATAGAGGTTTTCTGACCGTTTTCATTCATACTCTTGCTAAGCTCAAGCAGCGGCAGTACTGTGCACGCGTGGTTGACGTCGGTGGACGATCAATGCAGGTGTAAGCGTTGTGTGATCACCATCAATGAACGGAGACCGCAATTTATTTATCGGCGTTTCGTCAGAGATCCAACTGTTGAGCGTAATTGCACTGCAGCTGAGAAGCTGATCACGAGTCCGTCCACGAGAGCACGGTCGGCGCAGAGGATCCTGAGGACATGACAAGCCAAGCCGAGCTGTTCGTCCGATCGTATCAGCGCCGTCCGCCCGTCCGGCAAGCCTCCTCGCTCGTCTGACGCCGCCGCACCCAACGTGGCGGGGCCCCCCGCGGCGAAACCCAGCACTGGGCACGGCCGCTACTGTTACCGCGCCCGTCCCCCCTTCGCTTCGTCCCGTGTCCCGAAGACCCCAAGTCGGGCCCCGCACGCCACGTGCTCGTGTGTTAAGGTTAACACGGCTGTGCTCGTGCCGGGCACGCGGGGGCTGAGCTGAAGCTGAGACAGCGACCGAGCCGAGCCGAGCCCCGCGACGCCACGCCCACGCGCGGCGCGGATAAAATCCATACCTGCCGCCCCCACTGCCTGCCGACTGCCGACTGCGAGCGAGAGAGCCAGGTGGAGGGAGGAGGCGCAGGCCGGGGGCGGGGCGCGAGGGGCCACCACGGCCAGCCCCACCACCACCGGACCGCTCGGTTGGGTCGCGACGACGGAGGACATGATGGATCACCTGAGCCTGGTGCCCTACGATGGTGCCAGCGGCGGGGGCGACGCGGGGGGCGGCAAGTACAAGGAGTGCATGCGCAACCACGCAGCGGCCATGGGCGGGCAGGCCTTCGACGGCTGCGGCGAGTACATGGCCTCCTCGCCGGACTCGCTCAAGTGCGCGGCCTGCGGGTGCCACCGTAGCTTCCACCGCCGCGCCGCCGCGTTGGCTCCACCGGGCTCCTCGTGCGCGCCGCCCGTCTTCTTCCGCCCGACGCCGCCGCTCGCGCTGCCCGCGCCGCCGACGCCGCAGCAGCAGCACTTCCACCACCACCACCACCACCAGGCCGCGGCCGCCGCGCTGCAGGCCTTGTTCCCGTCGTCGGTGCCGGTGCTGGCGCCGCCGCACCTCGCGCTGCCGTACCACGCCGTGCCCAACGCAGCCGTCGCCGCCCCGCCCCCGTGGCTCGACACGCGCGCCGGCTCCGAGACGCCGCCGCGCACGGACGACTTCGGTATCGGCGTCGGCGTCGGTTTCGTGCCCGGGAGCGTCGGGGGTAGCGGCAGCGGCAGCTTCGGGCGGAAGCGGGTCCGGACCAAGTTCACGCCTGAGCAGAAGGAGCGGATGCGCGAGTTCGCGGAGAAGCAAGGCTGGCGCATCCAGCGGAACGACGATGGCGCCCTGGACCGCTTCTGCGACGAGATCGGGGTCAAGCGCCAGGTGTTCAAGGTGTGGATGCACAACCACAAGAACCAGGTCGCCTCCGCCGCTGCCGCAGCCGCGGGCATCGGCATCGGCATCGGCATCAACCCCTCCGTCGGCGCCGGCGCCGGCGTCGGCGTCGGCGTCGGTGTCACCGGCGATGGAGACGACGAGGACACCGACGATTCCCCGCCCGGCGCCGCCGTCTCCTCCCCCTCCCCGTCCCCGATCAGCGTCTAGCGGCCCCGCCGCCGACCCAAGGCACTTCGCCACTCTTCTTCCCCCGCGCGCTAATGAGCTCGGTTCTTTTAATCACTAGGGTTTAGTAGCAATTAATTAGCTCTAGGTAACCGTCAGGCCTTAGCTACGTACTACTACTACAAGTAGAAGACCCTCAGTTCCCATGTTAATCTCCTTGCCTCCCGTGACGCGGCCGTGCCACGGAGGGCGTATCTGTCATTTCATTCTTAGCCTGTGCTGTAGCTCCTAATCTCGTACTGTTATCAGTGACTAATGATGATCTGAGTAATGCTGCTAGCTAGCACTCCGTACCACCTGCGACGAAGCTTCGAAGTCAGTGGCTGGAAAATCATCTCCTTTGGAAGCATGCCGGATTTCGCTATGATCTGTTTGTGTCATTTCTTGATACGACAACTAATCGCGTTGTTCTGGTCCAGCCTCGCCGTTTGTGGTTGCAACGGCCACATTTGTTTGGCAAAGGTGGGGTGGGTGTGTGGCGCAGCGCAGGAGACGCGTCGCGTCCTTGTCGGCGTCTCCCTTCGCCCCGTCCGGTTCCGGCGGCCCATGTTTCGTTTCAGGATGCGCGGTGTGTGCGCGTAGGGGTCATGATGGATGGCTAGTAGGCCGGCCGGCGCCGTTCGGGCCTTTCGGTGCGGGGCAGGATCCGACACGGATCTCTCATTGGGTCGTGTCGCTTCCTCTCTGCAGTCTTGGCATGTCACTCACAGCTTCGACGCGACAACGCCCCGCCCTTTGGTTTGCTTGGGAGGAGACCAGTCGTTCCTCGCACTGCTGTTTGCTTGAACGGCTTGATAAGCCTAAGACACCAGGACCGGTAGCTGTAGTAGGCACGAGCTGAACCTAACAAGGCTACAGAAACTAGCATCAGAGCTGTTGGGCTGAGCACGAGGGTATTGCCAAGGGCCAAAGGCTAGGGACCAGACCCTGTGCTCTCCCAAAGGCCCTACTAACAGAGGACAGCGGCTAAGTGCGACCCAACCCGATTCCACATAATTAAATGACATTCTAGTACATAATTATAGGATTCGTGTTGATCAAACTAACTTAAGTTTGACCAATATAATAAATAGTATAGAATTTATGTCTTTAAATAAATTTATTATAAAAATATATTGTATAACTAATCCTAGCTTCTCCTCCAGCCCATGCATGCCGTGCCAACACACCCACTCGCCGAGTCACTCTTTCCTCGTTTTTTTAGCGAGAAAGTTGTGTGCATCACCGTTAACATTGATACACGTGAAACAACCACACATAATGTGTCAATTTCAACGATCGTGTTCGAAATATGACAAGTTTGATTGCAATGACCTAGAAAGGGGAACATGTTTTGGGATCGTTATTATGACTGAATCACAAAAGACATTGACGTTGTTGAATCACAAAAAACATATTGACATTTATATTTTACATGTAATTGGTCTATTTTTTCTGTAGTGCGCATGCGTGAAAGATTGCGAGCAGCACGCTATAGGCATCGTTCGACTTTTTTTTTAGTTATATAGAAGCTGTCACAAGAGAAATGAATGTGGTTAAATCATGTCGAACAACAGCGCGGTAGAGTAGCATGGCCATCAGGCCTGAAATCACTAGGTGATGGCTCCAGCATGGATTTCGATACAACTTATCAGCCTGATTTATCAGTCATGTTACAGTGGTTTTCTCTCATAATAAATCAGTGAACGGTATTTTTAGTCTGGCTTTTCAGCGAAGCGAATATGTTTGTTTTTTTGAAAGAGGTATTAATGGATGTTTTGGTCATAAAAGGGCTGGCCAACGACTACTTGAGACAGTAGTGGCTCCAATAGACATGAGAAGCATTGCAATGGATCAGGCTTTGTTTTTGGGCAAAAAGGCAATTCAGTCAAATGTATAAACAACCCAAAAAATTTATAGAGGGCGATAAAATTAAACAATTTTTAAGTGACTTTGGCCGTGATTTTATTGAGTGCTATAGTTCAATAAGATGAAAAACTCAAGAATAACAAAAATTGCACATCCACATGATTCGAGTGAAAAGAAAGAAATATGAGAGGTGATAATGGCTCCGTTCGCTAGTCTGAAACTTGACTGAAACTGGCTGGTTTTATGAGAGAGAAGCACTGTAGCGACTGGTTGATGAACATTGTTTTGTGAGGGGGATCAGCCGGCTGATCTGGAACAACCAGACCAGCGAACGCGCCCAATAGGTTTAAGCCAGGATATTGATCGATGATAGCTATTAGGGGTTGTGACGACAGAGACGGGGTACATGGAGAAATAACCTATGCAATCAAACAAATAACCAAGTAAAAAAATTCAAATATTACAGTGAAAAAACGCTAACTACATGCGCTATTTGTCTAGGTCACCTTACTAGTTTAAATGGGATCGAAATGTCAAATGTGTCAATGGTTCATTGGATTTTAGCTCTCTTTCTGGACAGAAACATTTAGCATGAAATTTTTGATGTGTTTTTAGAAAAAAAAAATAATCGGGGTTCTCGCATATACAGTCCAATCTGACTTTCGCTTTCCGTGTGATCGGCTGCCAGTTTGCAGCGCTGTTTCGGCTGCTGTTGCAAAAAAAAAAAAAAAAAAAAAAAAAAACCTGCAGTAGCTGCAGAGACAAATAAAAACATGCAGCAACAGCTGCAGCCACTATGGAAAACAAGCCCGAGAGTTGACCCAAAAATATATTTCACCAAAAAGAAGCTAAGCCTGCCCTAGTTTAGTTTTTGTTTATGTCAGAAAAAAATATCATTGTATACAAAATCTATGAAGCTTATGGAGTCGCATGACAAAAATTTGTTAGTTACCTATCATGTTTATTAAATTACGATCTGTAACGGAAATGCGTCCTTTTCATTTTAGATCTTCTGGGATCCTTCTTTTGGCAATATATAGCGCTGGCTTTTGTCATTGTTAAGAGCTTTTTGACACGACTCTTCGGAGAAGCTAGAGCACCTGGGGAATCATTTCTTACAGCTTCAGCTTTCGATATGAAAACGGCTCCGACTCCTCTACTATTCATCAGAAAACTGCTCTCACCCAAAAGTATTTGATATGGCCCTGTTCGATTGAACTACTTCAGCGGTACTTTTCAGCGAACGAACAGTGTTTTCCTCTCATAACAAATCAGCATAAGCCAAATTTCCACACAAAGCTGCTGTTAGAGCTAGAAACAAAGTTATGCTAGACAGGCCTGAAGTATAAAAAGATCACAAAATGTCTTGTGTCCTGTCATGGCCCATATATTTGGCAGCCTTTTCGTGGGCTAAGCCCAATTGTTGGCCCAAACTTTTTTGGTCTAGCCGATATATTTGGCGGCCTGTTCGTGGACTAAGCCCAATTGTTGGCCCAATTTTTCTGGTCTTGCCATTTAAAACGTATCAATTTAAGCGTTATTTTTGTTACATTTGTATTTTATTCAGTTAAATTCAACTGAGATTTTAAGTAGACTAAACCTGTTTCAACAGCTCATATAACATTATGGCCAACTTAGCCTATAAAACATTTTGAAAAAAATCAGCCAAGGGCATTTAACAACACATGTAGGCCCATACAACACAAAGATTGTAATTCAGCCCATATAGCACAAATATTATAGCCACCCCATTCGACAACATATATGAGGCTAATTAGCTAACACTAATGACCCACTGCGGACGTCCGTCCCACGTCCATCAGTCTGGACATTGGTAACTAGGTTTGCAGACCGGGCCACAGGCATGATCCCCTTACCATGGAATACACGGTTTCTCCAAAAAAAATGAACGATATTTTCCTCATCTCTCATCGGCTCCACCGCACCACCCGCCCTTCGCTCGCCATCTTCACTGCTGGGGCCGCTCGACGCGGGCAGTAAACCAACCGATCAACTGGCATTGTTTCCAGACCACCGCTCGCCCATGGAGAGGGAGACCGCAGCCACCCGACCACCGCCGCTGCCTCCACCACGGAGGCCGAATGCCTGGTCGCCGGCCAGGAAGACCTCTACCTCTGCCAGCCTAACACCCTAACTCGCCGCGGTCGGGTGGGGAGCTCACCCACGAGCAGCTCACGGTAGCCTGGCGGAGCTTGCCCGCGCACCTCTTGTCTGTCTACCCAGTTCGCCATGGCCAGGGTGGAACTCGCCCGAGCACAACTCGTGACGACCGGGATAGAACTCCACACGCTGACGAGGCCCTATTCTCCCAAGCAACAAGAAGATGTTGCGTCGAAACCGCATGTTGCAAGCGTCTGTTTCAAGTGTTTCAAAAGTTTCAGAGGTATGTTGCAAGTGTTTATATTGATGTTGCAAAAGTAGATCAGGAAGTTGCACATATTGCAATGAAGTTTTCAAGTGTATGTCCCAAATGTTGAATCTGCTTCTGACGTATATTGCAGGCGTTTCATCTGGATGTGGCAAAAGTAGATCTGGATGTTGCATATACATGCATGTTGCAAGCGTATGTTTCAAGTGTTTCTGGTGTTTCATACGTATGTTGCAAGTGTTTCATCTGGATGTTGCATATATTTTGTAATGGCTACACACATGTTTTCCTGGTGTTTCAGACGCATGTTGTAAATGTTTCAACTGTTTTGGATGTATGTTGCAGAGTATCTCATCTACATATTGCAAAAATAAGTCTAGTGTTGCACATGTTGTAGGAGGACCCTGCCGCAGCTGCACGTGGGAGCGGAGGGGCGCAAGTAGCAGGCGCGGAAACAGAGCCAACATAGATCGTGACGCGCCCCCGCGTGAGCCCACATGGGCCTGGGAAACAGAGTGGCGCGGGCTCCCACGTGAAGCAGGCGCAAGCGTGCGTATGGATGCAGGAGCATGCTTACGCGGGCGTCTGAACGGTAGCCCCGCTCGAGCGCTAGCCTACCCCAGTGACTAAATGCCTAAATCTATATACAGGTTAGCACTGGTCACCAAGTAGCAACAATATAATATCCACAGGTCTAAATAACACCAAATAAGAGGATAGGACTCAAATACGCTCCAAACAAAGG